AACCCCAACCAGCGCAGCACCGCCCCCCCCCCCTATCCTGTCCACACTGCCATCGTATATTCACCTCGCGTATCAGCCTGGTGGGTCACATGCGAATCCACTGCACTGAGACTGACGAGCCAATGCCCGAGCACCAACATACACCCCCCGCAACCTCAGCTGCCCGCATTGCCCTCTCACATTCAGCCATCGTAAAGACCTACTAGGTTAGATGCGCCCCCACGAAAATCTGCGGTAAATCACCGCAGACTAAACCACATCACCACGCATTCCCTCACCAAAACATGAGCCACATATGAACGATCGAAGATTAATACCACCGGCACTTCTCACGCACGTGAGAAGCATGCTCTTCCGCTCCTTCTCCATATGGCCGCTGTGCTGTATGCGAGATCGGAACAGTCTAGACCCTGTGCGAAATCCCGATGTTTGCGTATGTGGGGCCAACTCGTGTATGTGGCACACACAGACGGGCTATTCTTAGCTCTGCCAGCGATCTTCTTAAGTCTCAGCATCATTTAGTTGACCGGCTAGGACAGTCGACTTTGCATGAGATTGAGGTGAACGAGCGAGACTAACTTTCAGAGCATAACTTTGCATTATAAACAGCCTGGCGCGCTTGAGACCATTACGGTGTGCTAAAAGCCATGCCTTGGATGGTTGTTAGCTGGCGATTCAACTCAGACCCATTCAGTAGGCCCAGTACGTGTTTGTGCGTTGAGTGGCTTACTGATGGACTGAAGGTCAGATTGATGACTCCCTCTCAATGGCACTCCCACACACGCGAGGTCCGAGCCACCCACCTCCTTTCGTGTGTAATTCGCCAGCTCACTCGTCGTTTCCGACCATGGCAACTGGGTGGGAGCAGAAACGGTGACTTGGGCATGAATTTTTTCTATAGCGGTAATAAAATTGTGTGGTATCTGCTGCCCCTTCTCCTCCTTCTTGGTGCGGTGTCATGACAGAGTCCAGAAGACCGGAAGAGGAAGGGAAGGAAGGTGATCAACAGCGTACGCAGACCAGGATTTTACGGAACAACAAAGGGGGGGGGGGGACAGATCGGACCCTAACTGGGGATTTGCGGGGACCTGTACCACGGCCTCCCGATAAACCCCCAATGTTAGCACTTGTTAAGGGTGCGCATGCCCGATAACGCCTTCCGGACACCGATATATCTTTTATGTCGGTTCAGTTCACCTACTGCTCGACCCGTTTTAGGAGCAGTG